TGTCAATGTATGCTAACACATGCAAGTAAGTTTAGCTATAATGTAGAGAATCAATGAAACATTTTCAAACTTAAATGTAGTGGTTTTTCAATTGAGATAAGCATTATCTTTCATATCATTAGGCCGACCAGCCCTCCATAAACTAACGTTAGAATACCGCACTTTCAGCGGTAAAGAACAATTAAAACCTCATAAAAAAGGCAACTAATCCGTTTACCTATAATTGAATCCAAGGACACCAGTGTTAAACACTCAGTACTTATCCTTGATAATGTGTTAATCCAATTAATATAGTGAGATAACCATAACGTTAGTTTATCGAGGACAGGTTGAGCTAATGTACAGTAACTAGTTCCATATATAAAGACAGATTCACTCAAAGCTCTCATGTACCGGTATACCTTAAATGCTAATCGCATTATTTGAATGGTTCTATCTTTATATGCTGTACTAGTTTAGTTTGAAGAAGGGGTATTGTGAACCTCTGGAAATCAATTTTTGACCAATGTTACTAGACCCAAAAACAGCTATGTTGAAAAGTTGTCCGGATGTCCAATGTATCATTATTATGTAAATAAGTACAGTACTGCCATTACCAAAATATCTATTTTTCACTATATCTCTCATAATGAAACTTATTAGAATGATGTCCAATGTATCATTATTATGTAAATGAGAAATATCTATTTTTCACTATATCTCTCATAATGAAACTTATTAGAATGATGTCCAATGTATCATTATTATGTAAATGAGTACTGCCATTACCAAAATATCTATTTTTCACTATATCTCTCATAATGAAGCTTATTAGAAAAAGAATTAAATTGTTGAATTTTTTTGGCTATTTCTTAGGAAGCCAAGCTTTGCAACCAGAGCGATTCTCCTGAGTACCGAGACACTGAAGGCAAGGGGCCTGTATGGTGAAGCAGCCATGGAGTTTATCAGGATGACTGGAGAGGTAATTACTGAATACTGCCCTCTATTGACTCAGACAAGATGTTCATATACAACCATTGTTTTCATGCAAATGTATGTTTTTATGTTACTATAAGCATGGAGGAATTAGTTTACCATGCTATAAGGAAGTTTTCAGCAGATGTTGTGATGCAGCAAACAATATCATTGGCGTTTTCGTACCTCCACAGCCAATTTAATTGTGATGTTTTCTTTTGAAGGACTCAGATTTGAGGAGTGCCCTGTTCTTAGAGCAGGGTGCACATTGTTTTATCAACATGAAGACACCAATGGCTCGTAAATACGCGTTTCACATGATACTGGCTGGCCACAGGTATAGCAAGGCTGGACAGGTGAGAAAAGCCCCTTCATTCTTTGTTTTCTAATTTTCTAATATAATTGTTTTTTAAAGTATATTTTCATTTTTTAGTTCCTATGCATGTAATGCAATAGGAACTATTGTAATCACTCTTGCTATTTCCTATGTTTTTTATTGTGTGTAGTGTGTATGTGTGTGTGTAGACATTTATGCAAATGCGCATGCGTCTAGGAAAAGTTTTCCGACATTTTGTTTTACATCGCGATGCGAAGATCGATGTGAAGTTTCTGCAGAG